CGTTTTAGAGAACGAGTATAAAAATCACTTGTAAAATTTCTACTTTAACACCCTGTAACTTTTTTACTATCCATTTTTTATGCAAGCAAGTTAGCTTAAATCAACTTATTTTAGACCTCCAGAAACTGTTGTTAAATTTAATTTACTGTACCTCTTTTAATTACACCCTGTATACTTTGGATAAAACGATTTTTTAATTTTTTGAATGGTAATTAATCTTATTTTTTCCGTTTATACAAAAAACACATAATAAATATTATGATTATTTAAAATTTTGGCGGATGAACCAGAACTGGTCTATGTATAAAGATATGATAAAGAAAATGGTGGATGGTCTTGTTCCAATCTTAAAAGATCATTTTGTTTAGCTTTTTTTGTTCGAAATGTAGTAGAATGATTATAACAATAGTTTTTTAGGTGATACGATAAAACATAAATCTGTTTTGAGTTATTTTAATCCATATTATACGCTTTGAACTTAATAATGCAGTCATTTTGTTCTCAAAAAAACCCTTAGTGGGAAAGTTTTGGGTTAGTTTTGATTTCTTTCATTTTAACATGTTTTTTGGAGTGCTGAATCCGAATCCGACATCGGCTAACAAAATTTCGTGACGCAAAATTGGAAAAAATGCAGAAAATTGTAAAAAAAAACATTTTTTTTTGGGGTTTTTTGCTTATAACTTAGAAACTATCAACTTTTTGTAAATAATCTTCCCATTCAACTCTTCAAAATGAAGGTACATAAAATATTCTACAAATTTTTTTATTTAGGTTTTTTCTGCGACCAACCGTTCGGGATTAAACGAGAGTCCAAAATTTTCGTATTTTGGCTGTCTCCGCAAAGACACATTTTTTTATTAAAAAACTCTTTCTTATTTAAAGGCTGTCATTTGGTGAATTCCTTCTAGTTCACTTACATATACCTTATTTGGGTCCTATATGTAAAGGTACAGCTCGTTTCTAAAAAAATTAATAAATGTTCAAATTATTTAATAAAATCCGAAATACACAAATTCAGTTACAAAAAAGTTGAAATTCTTACTAAACATTTTAAAAAATCAATTCCTATTACTATATTACATTTACACTGGTGTGTATATTATACATCAAGGGAGTGAAGTGGCACTTTTCATCCCGAGACGAAAAGTTTGAATCAACCGGAGGAAAGGCTACAAAAATAAAAAAATGCTTCAGTCCCGTAGTTTATATGCTATTTTAGGAACTTTAGGAAAATAAAAACTAGCAAAAAACTTATGAGAATTATGAAAAACCTCTTAACAGTATTCGCCATTTTAGACCAAGAAAATAGGGAGTAATAGTATACTTTAAAGGGAATGTGTCATCTCTGTTAAATAAATAAAAATAATACATTCATATGATTAACTTTTAATGTGTTTTAGATTTTGATATATTTTATAATAATGTATTTAGTTTTTATTATAGAGGGTTAAGGGGGGTTTAAATTGAAAAAAAATCATAAATCAAAAAGGAAGAGCAATATCAACATGAACTTTTTAGAAAAAAACCAAACTCTATTAAGAGATGAAGCATATTGATTCTGAAAAAATCTGAATAAATTGGGGGTTAAAATAACATTAATTCTGAAAAAAATTTGAATAAAAATAAGGGGT